GAATAGCTGGTGGAATGGTCGTAAGTCGGTTTGTTAGTTTCTAAGCAAACAACACAAGCAACACGAGAACGAGAAGATGAAAGCTGATGACTGGTGGCACTGTAAGGCACAACTTTGTGCTTCGTATTGCTACAACCAATCTTCTTCTTTTTATTATGGGAACAAATAAACACAGATATAGATATGTATCTTGTATATAAATATATATATATATATATATATGTGCACATATATATACATATATGTGTATATATGCACATAACTTATTGTATAGACAACTGCACTCTTGAAAGTGTCATGAAATACGTTTAAAAGTAAAGTATTTTACACACAGCCCAACACGACAAACAAGGTTTTTCTGCCACTAACTGCATCATTCAATGCATGGCACTAGTAAATGTTTATATAAAGGCGATGTGGTCGATGTTAATGTTCGCTCCTTCAATTGCTGACATCAAGTGTGTATGTCTTTTTGTTTGTGTTGCTGTTTGTTTTTCCCCGTCCTGTCCCTTCCTTTCCTTTATTTTCTTTTCTTTGCTTTTCTTTTCTTTTTTCCTTTCTTCCACTTCGATAATAATCATGACGATAATGTTGAATGAATGCTGATGGCTGTGGTGGTGATGGTTACAATAACGATACGTTTAGAACAAATGGTTTTTTTTTTTCTTTTTTTTTTTTTATTATAATTATTTTTTTAAGAGAAAATGTGTGCATTACAAAGTTAAGTTATTTTTTTTTTTTTATATCATCCACATATGATGTGCGTCTGAGAGTTGGCCTTTCTGCCTGTCTACTCACCGTTTGCCATATTTAATTAGAGATGTTTATCAAATTTAGCACCAAGCAATTCATCTTATAAATACTGAATCACACGTTATATAACGCTATTTATTTATTTTAGTTGGCCGCCAAACGATTCATTGGCGAAGTTTTTTTTCCTTTTTTCATTAAAATCGCCTCAAATTTTTTTTTTAACACGCAAACACACATCACTTCATTATTTTAGGTAAAAAATTATACTTGAAAATTGGCAAAAAAAGAAATATTTATAGAATTATAGCGATATTTAAAAAATGTTAAAAAAGGGAGAAAAAATTGGGAGAAAATTCGTTTGGTTTTTTTTTTTTCAAGGCTTTCTAGGGTTAAAAAACGACGAGCCGTTGAATTACAGCAACGTAAACGAATAATCGCGTAAATTGAGATACGCGGACAGAGATGTTTGGCTAACACAGTTTTGGTAATGCAGATGGAGCGCCTCCTGTAACATGTTAGTTATATTCGACGGTCGACCAATCTTGCTTACCCTCCACTTTCGCTTTTCGCATTCTACTCTTCAAGCCTTTCTTCTTCTTTTTTTTTTTTTTTTCATACCCATATATCGCTGGTATTATTAATAGGAAAGTAATCGCGGTGTCAACCATATTCATTTTAGAATTGATCCATTTATAGGCACATAATATATCTTCATTTGGAGAATGTACAAACTAATTGCACATATTCTGTCTTTTTTTTTTTTTTTAATGATAAAAAATCAAAAAAGTGAAAAAAAAAAAAAAAATTTAATTACTTGTAACTTTGTGTGGGCATGGTCAATTGTTTTCATTTTTGAGCGTAAAGAGTAGGGTGCTCGTAAAGTAAATATGGACAATTTCAGCCTTTTAACTTTAATAATAACCGAGTAAGGAGCAAAAACTATTCACATTTTTTGTTAAGAAAAACGAAATTGCGTTCAGTTTACGCTCCACAGCGGGCTTCTGCTCTGACCAATTTGGCTCATTTACAGTGTGGTGGGGTGTAAAAATGATTACTGATTACTGATTACTGATCCAGGAGCTAAATACACCATAAAAACACAAAATAGAAATGAGCTCAAGTTTAATTGGAAAGAACAGATAGACATTTTGTAAAGAAGAAGATAATTCGGAATAATCACCTATTACTTAATAAAATTTCGGATCTTCTCACCTATTGTGTGTTCATGGCGGGTAATGTAATTTTCTAGATGCGTAAATGTTAAATAAAAATCCCGTTATCGTGTTATATTGTAGGAGTACGAGAGATTTATCACAATTTCCTTTTCCAGAATACCATCCTTATAGAAGAGTTATTAGCCAGTCTCGTACTTGCAATCTGAGCTCTTAACTCGTGCCCGGATAATTTCGTTGCATTTCGATGCCAGGACATTAAAATGTTTGTGGCAACTGCAACACATATTAATCACCTCGATGTGCAGCCTCTTCCCCGTAAAGTGAAGCTTCCCTGACCGGGGTGACTTAAAGACGGTTAAATAAGGACAAGCAAAGTCAAAGTTAATTTCTCAGAGAAATTAGGATAATGTTTGCGAGCAATCGTGTGGAGTTCTTGCGACAAGACGACAGCCTTAACTTCTAAAGAGAACTATCTTAACCGATTATCGTTGATTTATTAAAGAATTCCAATAGGCAAACATTACATAAATGTACAAATAAATATATCGATGTCAGCCGCTACAACAACGAATATATTTGTATTCTAGGCGAACGCAATACTGTTCGGCGTATGGTTTTTTAATGATGGCATAAAAGACATTTAACAAAAAGGAATTAAATCTCAGATATTGGGAACTCGTTGCGAATACAATAGGATCTAGTTCTCAGCGATGACGCTTGCTTGCAAAATAATAGATAATTAATTCAAATCGTGTAAATCGAGGATTGTATATATCATACACATAAATGTAAACCAAACGGACCAAGACATTAAACATGTTTTTGTTTGCTTATCAAGTACTTATTAAATACCGCTTAATATTAGATGCGCTTTCAATGAGTGCTAACAATCGTTTACATAACGGTATGATTTTTTGCAGGCCGTAGCGGAAAATGTCCACATCTATAATATACTAGATTCATTATTCCACTTGTTAAATCCATGAATGTAAAGTAAGTTAGCATTTAATTTTGGATCGATTTGTCCCCATGCCAATCGTTCGAATCGTTTCGCCTCTGTTTGATTAAAATTTGTAACGCGTTAAGAAAAATTAAAAATTTTGATTGGATTTGTTTTTTTTTTTTCTCTACATTGAAAATAGTCGCCAGCGGCCCTTCATCGCGGTCATTGTTTGAAATTGTAGATAAGAAAACTGATCATAGAATCGATATAGTTTTTAGTTTGAAATTCAAGGTACAAGCAATTCCAATGTAATATATGTATCGCAGACGATTATCATCCAACCAAGTTTCCTATAAAAGTGGAAGATTTTTATTGCAAAAAAGTTCAAATCAATAATTAATTGTCTTGAAAATGTTGTGCGTATGGATAGTGAGTAAAAAATATATTTATTCAGCTTTTGAAAACAGCAAACGGTACTGTAGACGTAGAGGTTCCAACCTGCGTGCAAGAACCTGCTTCTCCTTCGTCTTCTCGTCATGTTTGAGGGCAATCAAGGCTGCATATTTGGAGGAATAAGGAGAACGCTGAACATATACATTACAGCGATAAACAGTCGAACATCCCCAAACTGATTCAGAATGTGGCATTCATTAAAAGTTCTCCGAAAAGTGCAGAACATATAGACCGCATATAGAAAATACGAAATCGTATATTTTATTAAGAAATTTCCGATTACACTTATCGTCAAGTTAGTGAAATATTTCATTGTATAAAACCCTGTACAAAAGTTCCGTTATGTGATATGTTTTAAAGAATGCCATAAGCATAATTCATTGCGATGTCATGGACCCATTCATATACGCTCCGTATTCCGTATTTCTTCAGAATCTTGATTAATATAATATTTGCCCCAACTACATACACACACGCATACTATTACGTGGTTTTTCCTTAGGCTTTTTCATCAATTTATTTATTTCTTGATGAGCCGGAATTATACAAAGTGTTCTAGCGAAGACGCGATCGAGCATAAACAGAGTCCACCTTTTAGCAAAGACAAAAAAAAAAATGATTTATACATCATAGATTGATTTTACGCTGTTTGAGAAGTATATGCTCAAGTAATTAAATTTTTCATTCTCAAGTGTTGTTACTTATTGAGTCGTCCTTGTATTATTTCTCCTAAAAAAAAGTCAAAGTCACTTGAATATATATATTCAATATATTATAATAAGTTCGCCCACCGTCTTTTCTTATTAATTTTTATTTTTCCTTTCGTTAGTGGTCAAGGTCATTGCAAACTGGCACACATATATAATTGGCTTTTATGTTTTTCTTTTAGTGGCGCTGTTACTTAACGTGTAACATTGCAAGGAGGAAATTGTAAATTTATTGTCCTGGCAACGAGAATGCAACGTGAATGTGTAGAAGATACTTAAAACTGACAAACATCGACATCGTCATCGTACATACTTAGATAGATAGACACGTTATCCATCCATAGCTTAGTGTACTTATATAGTCAAAGAAGTAAGGGATTGTTGTTGCAAATGTATCTCAATATGTTGGGCAAACAAGTAATAAAGTTAGTCGTCTCTCTCCACACAGAAGAAAATCTATAAGAAAAAGTATACGCAAAGCGAAGGATAACAGTCAATGGAGAATACAACATGTCATGGTTAAACATGGTTGATGATGCCCATTCCATGTCGTGGAATGACGAATATTTTTTGGTAGCGTCTAAGAAGAGGCGACAGTTGAATGTATAATTATATGCAAAAAATGCAAACACTTGTCAATAATAAAATTAAAATTCGAAATTCATCAATAGGAACCCATGAGAATTTTTTTCTTTTTTATATTTAATGCATTAAGTCAGAACAAGTCAAAAAAGCGAGAAAATTTTGAAAACAAAAAAAAAAAAAATTAATTTATTTGAAATATATTTTTCCAGCAATATTAGAGAAAAGTAACGATTAAAAACATAAAAATCGGGAAATATCTAAGGGTTAAATAGTTTGTGTTGTTGTTACCGTTATCATTGTTGTTGCATCATCAATCATTTTACGTTTTTCTACATTTAATTTGCAGATATTTCAATATAACTCAAAACGACGCGCCGCGCGAAAATGGCCAAAATGGAAGTCGACGATGTTGTCGACTTGAGTTTGGGATCAGGTCGAGATCCAGCGCTGACAATCACGCCAGCTACAGTAAGAGATTTGCGAGCCTTGACACAAAATTCGGGACTGACCATAATACCTGCTCCTCCACCACCAATTTCGCCAGCAATTGTTCATGGGAACAATAGTATCACAAGCGCTAATAACACTACAACGGCCACAAATAACATTTCCACCACCATAATGAGTGTGGATCCCTCTAGTAATAATAATAATAGTAGCATGTCATCAAATCAAAATCAAACATCAGCTTCTTCTTCGATTAACTCAAACACGACATCGACATCATCGCCAGTTTCAGATGAAAATAAGGTGCAACGTCGCGTTCTAAGGCCTCGTACCGAACCCAAGTCTTATGCCGAGGCTCCAGATATTGTACTATTGCCGGCTCGCATGAATGGTCGGCAACAAAATGGTAATATAGACTCCGAGACAGATGATGAAGAAATGCCACCCTACGTACCCATCAAGGAACTTACACCTGCCGAGTTAAAAGAACGCGAGAAAGGATTACGTAAACTTCGAGACGATCTACGTAATGAAGAAACGAAACTGGTGCTATTAAAAAAACTAAAACAGTCTCAACATGTCATGAAAGAGAATCTAGTGGTAACGCCCACTAGTGTATCGCCTACAAATCCGTTAGCTGCTATACCGGCTGCTCTAACCTCAAAAGGAGCCCTAAGTGTAACACCCACCAATGCAGCGCCGTTGCCTGCACACACCAAAACAAATCGTTCCAATAGCAATAGCATCTCATCCTCTATTAGCATAAGGTAAGTTTTCGCGTGTATGTGTGTGTGTGTGTGTGTGTGTGTGTGTTATATTGTAATTGAAAAGAAAAAAGAAAATACAAAACTTTACCATTCTTTAAATTCATCTAGCGCTACAAGTAATCGCGGTTCAACCAATAGCAGTTCGGCATCATCAACAGCTGCTTCTTCACCTTCGCACCGTTCGAATACCAATAGCACTACAATACTGCCCCCACCACGTTCCTCCTTGCCTGGTGGTGCTACCTTAACTGCTGGATCGTCAACGGCTAGCATTAGCATCGCAGCAGCAACGTCATCGTCCTCCTCCTCGTCATCACGCTCTTCAAATGCTCTGCCACCTCGAACCAATCTTCCGAATCTCACTATTACACCGTCGGTGACTATAACGCCTACCACGGCTCCGCCGTCAGGACTTAAATCACGCAATGTGAGTTGTTGTAATGTGATCGTTGCAGTAAGCGCTGTGTTCATTCATAAATCTTTATATTATGATATGTAAAATTTTTATCCAAAGCTCACTACTTACATAGAAACGTTCATTACACCCAACATACACCGCTTGCAATATACGATACACAATACATATTATGATATACCAATATTATCAATGTGCATACATTTCACAGTTCATATCAAAATCCAAAAAAATTACTTCCGATGCTTATTATTGTAATAGAAATTTTGTATAAAATTTCATGAAAAAAAATCATTTTCTTTCCATTTTTCGTTAAATTTAATAACTAACCCTTATCTACCATCACCATGTATCAATCATCAATTCGCTACGCACACAATTAATCAAAATCTCATAAAAATCGAATAAAGCAGCAGCCTAATGTATCGGATAATTCAAAGGTACCTAACACTATCAGCAACTCGGTATCTATCACCCCAGCACCACCAATAGCAACACAAAATCAACAACATAGTGATTTAAAGGTGAAAACTTTTTTTATCCTTATATGGGGGAGCATAAGCGTATTATTACTAATAATTGTTTTCTGCTTGTTCCGCAGAGTGAACGATCCACTGCGCGGGAAGAGAGTCAGACTCCCGCTCAGAGGCAAGCGGCAGCAAAATTGGCGTTAAGAAAACAATTAGAAAAGACTTTATTGCAGGTAAAATGTTGAAATGCATGATTTTTATAATTTTATGTCTGTCCTCTTATGATTGATTAACTTGATTTCATGTTGCTATTTAAGATTCCTCCTCCAAAACCTCCACCACCGGAGATGCATTTCATACCAAATCCAAGTAACACCGAGTTCGTTTATCTATTGGGCTTAGAGACTGTGGTCGATTATTTGATGACTAATACAAAAAAATCGACCGCGGTCGCACCTCCCTTTCGTTGTGCTCAATGTAAAGTTGACTTTACACCTGTTTGGAAATGGGAGAAGCAAGGTAAATCGCTCGCATCCATCGCACGTCACAGTTAAAAATTGTTAATGAAAATTTGATCATCTTAGGAAATAAAGAACCAAAAGTCATTTGTGAGCAGTGCGTCACTTCGAATGTTAAGAAAGCTCTAAAGGCTGAACATACAAATCGACTGAAACAGGCTTTTGTTAAAGCTCTACAACAGGAACAAGAAATCGAACAACGTTTAGCCAGCCAAAGCAGTCCTTCGCCAGTTGATACACATGTCATTGCCGCCTCCGTTTCATCACAATCGCAGTCGCAATCAAATCAATCTCAACAGCAATCGATAACCCATCAATCTCAACCGCAGATAGCACACGCCTCTTCTACCGCAGCTGCTTTAGTTAATCTACCACCTTCAGTTACTGTTATACCAACTAAATGTCAAACACCCACACCGAGTATAACACCACGACCCACTCCGCCGCCAATAAATCAACAGCCGACGCCTCCACCACCACCGCTGACTGCGCCCCGATCATCGCGAGGTAACAACTCCCACCAAACACAATCCAGTCCCAGTAATCCGACAACGAATCAGTTACATCATCATCATCAGCAGCAACAACAGCGTGAGCGGGAGCGCGAACGAGAACGAGAACGGGAACGGGAACGGGAACGAGAACGAGAACGGGAACGTGAACGTGAACGTGAACGTGACCATCATCGTGCCGAACAGCAGCAACAACAGCAAAGAGCTGCAGTTGAACAGCAGCAACAACAGCAACAATATGACAAGTATTCGACCGCTGCTTTGGCCGCAGCAGCACAACTAGGCGCTCTCGGCTTACCAGGCCTCAACAATTTGGCCGGACTTGGTGGCTTAGGCAATCTCGGTAATCTAGGCCAATTAGGCAATTTAGCCGCACTTGGAGGCTTGGCAAATTTGGGTGCGGCAGCAGCGGCCACTGCTGCAAACCCAGCTGCGGCAGCAGCAAATTTGGGAGCTCTAAGCAATGCGTCGCCAGCGGCAACCGCAGCAGCTATGCAAGCTTTTCAACAACAATTACTTAGAGGTTAGTGTCTATTTATTTATTTATATCTTTTATTAGTCATACAAATAATCTACGAGGTTACGTTGGCATTGACAGGTTTCCCAAAAATGTTATCTAATCTATTGAAATGTGAGAGTAGAAAAAAAAAAACACAATTGAAAGAAGCGAAAGCCAACTCAAATAATTTCAAAGCACAACCAAAAAAGCTGAAGATTGCAAACTCAATTAAGAAAAATCTATTCTCTCGCTTCCTCTCATAGATATTTTGAAACTAATAAATATAATAGGAACTCTTGTGGGAAAATTGGGGCGGGCGCGCCCGTCCCCACACACACACACACACACGTATGATGCAGTTTTTTATGCCCTTTAAAGAAAATTAGTTCGAAACCTGCAAAAAGACTTTTTATGGTAGCGCGTACTACCTGTCCCTGTGCAATAATAGCTTTGAAGAAGTTGGGCGTTTGTGATTGCACTAGAAACACTATTATAGTCAGTGTGGTCATAGGTATAGCAAACATACTTTCAGGTATTAATCTTTCTTCTTCAACCTATGATTCCAATTCCCCCCCTCCTCTCTCTCTCTCTCTCTCTCTCTCTCTCTCTCTCTCTCTCTCTCT